CCCCAAAACCCCAAAACCCCAAAACCCCTTATTCACATCCAAATGTAGAAGATATTAATTTTAAAATTCGAACATGGCTAATTATTCGCAACGCCCTTGACTATAACTTCGAGCAAGTCAGGATTGAGAGTGCAATATCAATGGCATCGGTTCCTAACTGACAAGCCCACAAATGCGCCATGCAAGCGACTTACTTCCATAAGATCATGATGGTTCATGTCTGTGAAGAGCACTGCCAGCCCGAGCAGGTAAAGGTCTGATTCAAACTAAAGAATGTTGATGCTATCGACAAGACTTTAGAAGTAGTCAAAGCATGTACCAAGAACTTTGAAGTTGATTCAAAACTACAAATAAACAGACAAGCAAAAGAGGATTCTAAAAATTTTTCAGAGAAGATAATGAAGACAGTAATAGAATATTCTGAAGAGATTAGCAAAGCAAAACAACAAAAAGAGTGGAAAATCTATGAATCGTTTGATGAGAAAGTAAGAAGTTTAGTCTTTAAGCTCAAGCACAATGAGCTTTTCATGCATTTCTGTTCAAGAAATTATTTGACCTCAATGGGAAACCATTTAAAAATGGAGACAGACCAAATTTCCCAGTTCATTCAGAATGAAAATTATCCAGATTTATTCCAGAAGAGATATGATCAGCTAAGGCAAGATTTTGAGGATTTGAGAGCAGAGTATCAGGATTTTAAAAAGAGGGCTATTGACAAGTTAAACCCATCAACAAATTTAGGGTTAACCAAATTCTATAGCCTCATAACTAACAGAAATGTGAAGTTCTCAAAGTATCAAGGACTCCGATTAGATTGAGGCAATGAAAAGGATGCAACTTTTATGAAAGAATTAGGTGCCCATATCCTTCCAAATTTGCCATCTTTGAAAATATTCAATATTCAAGATAAGATAGGATTAGTCAGAGATTTCGTAATTTCTTCTATCCCTGAAGGAATTAGGTTCTTCAGCTTAAACTGAAAAGGAAAATTGACAAAATGGAATGAAATTGAGGCAATTATTGAGCATATTAGCCCAAAAATATATAACACGATTGAGTTGGAGAATATTGACATAAGCGAACCTGAATTTGTAAACTTGATCAAAATAGTATCCAAGAACCAAACTAAAATTGTATTAATCGATTGAAAAATCGGGCTAGATTCAGTGCCCCATTTCCAAGACTCTCTCAAAGGATCAGTTCTTTCTCATTTAGATTTTGGGTTTTGTAGGACCCCTGATAAATCTGATTGGAAGAACCATCCAGAAAGGTTTTCTAATTTGATAGAAGGGCTCTCTCAAAGCGAAGATATGAAGAAAAAACTAAAGTTCATCGATTTATTTAACTGAGGAATATCCAGCGAGCATGCTGAAAGGGTCCTTCACAAGTTTGGATTTGGCCATGTTGAAGTTTGGAACCTTGAGATCTAACCTAATTGTATTAACTTGTTTGATTCCCATAATTATCCCTCCTAAGTTCAATTCTCTGTAAAACCTTAGGGGTTTTGGGGTTTTGGGGTTTTGGGG